CTGCTGAAGGGTAGGATGTCACACGTACCGTTACTGACTCCAGGCTGCTGTGGGGTGAGGGTCCTTTTGGGATGGGGGGGGGATGCTGGTGATTTTTTTTTCCCCTCAGATTATCTTTTCTTCTTTTGAGGGTCATATTTTGTGCTAATCTTTTGCTTAAAAATGTTTGTGCTGCCTCTTTGTTTTAATATTTCTTACATTGCTTTTGTTGTCTAGCTGAAATGAATTCTGAATACTGGATTTGAGACCTAGCCTAGAAAAAAAGTTTCTCAATACATCTTTCAAGTTTGACAGTATGTTAACATTGTATTTTAGGATGTTTTAAGTTTTGAATCTACTGTTTCCAGCCAATTTGAAAGCATCTTTGTGTCTATCCCTCTTGCTTTTCTCTTCGCCTCAACTTTCTGTTTATTTCTCTCTTGTTTTGGACATCTGTTCACTATTAAAGGTCTCCAGTGCATTGATATTCTTGGTATGATGGCACTGGCTTTACTACTGAACAGTAGTTTGATTCTTTCTATGATTTTTCCACCACTAGTAAAGAATTTGTTCGCTTGAAACCTTCTATTTGACCTTTTATTTCATTTGCTGCTTATGTCCAGCTTTATATGTAGCTGATTTTATCACAACAGTCTATCTATATAATTTGTTGTATACTTTGAAGAGATCTATTTTTCTGATGCAAAAAACTCTAACAGACTTATTAAAAGTTGTGTCAAATTTTACTTTCTTATTTTTTTTTTTTCTGTGAAAGGAAACTTGTTCTTTATTTCAACAGCTTGACTTTTGTTCTATAACACCGAGTCCCTTCATTTTCAGGGTATCACGGGACACACAGTACAAGGTAATGTCCTTGAATTTTATTGTTCCATGTCACACAGAAATTAATTGTACCCTCAGGTTTTGTTTTTTTTTTGTGATCATCCTATCAGTTCTGAGTATAAGAGCAGGATGCTTTTCTGGGGCTGCTGTCAGATTTTTCTTTTCTAACTTGAAACTCACTAACAAGGCCAGATTTAAAATAAATAAATAAATAAATAGATAGATAAAATTTAAACTGTACTTCAAGAACATCTTTCCATAGAATTAGGTTTGCATCCTACCTGCTGCAAACAAGTTCATTTTGAATGGTGCATGCTATCATTTGGTTACATGGGGCTGAAAAACTGTGCAAGCAATTGTTTAAACATATCAAGAATTGTCCATACTGCCCGTACAGATACTAGTCTTTTGTTTGCAAAGACATAAACATGCATGACTCTTTATTAGGTATTGCTTTCCATTTTAATGACATGCTCATCATTTTCAGTTTTAATGATATGTTCATAAAGGATTATGGCTAAAAGTAGAAGGATATAGATAAATATTTATATACATCTTTCAGTGCTTTTCCCTTTTTTAATTTAAATGCATATATTAGAGTGAAATAACTTTTTTTTTTTAACACAGAGGCTCGGAGAAATTGAAATATACTGACTGGCCTAAAGGACATGAAGAATCCTGTTTTTACTGTAATTCTGAATGAATGTCCTACCCTTACAATTTAAAATATTATAATAATGTTAATCCAAATGTGCTTTAATGAGGGAAAAAATTACCCTCTAATTACCTATAGCTGTGGTATTTACATTCCAAAGAGGTACTCTAATTAATGGAAATTTTAATTTATGACTCTAAGTGCTGTATTAAGAGTGCTAATTTCAGGAACCATTTGTGTTTAAAACTAGAGCATATTTTATTCTTCCATGAGACTAAGACACCTCTGTCATTAAATGCTGTATAAACATTTTTGACATTTTAATCCTAAAAATAGAATCTTATAATTGCCACATGTAGTAGTAACCAGTTAATATAAATTTGGAGGGAAAAGGTATGTTCCAAAGTGTTTGTATGTGTGCTTGTAAGTTATTGCTATGGTGTTGCAGATAACATACGTCATATAGGAATCTAGTTAATGTGAATACCATCGTGGGGAAAGCAGTAGAGCGTGGTAGTAATATATTCATGTTAACACTTCATTTTGGATTCTTCTCAGTCAGTTCTTCCTCAATACACATGAACTTCCAGCTTTAAAGACTCCAAACAGCAGTCTTTTCTAGAAGAAATAAGGAATTGTTTAATTTTCCTGAACTGTTAAGAAAAATGTTTAGAAAAACACATGCTGCAGTTCAATAGAATTTTCCTGTACTGAAAGATGAAAAAGAGTTTTTAATACAATGTATTGGCAATGAGCTATATGGCTTTTGTAAAGGAAGTTATGCACTACTGATCAGCAACCTCTTTGAAATCCACACCTCACTCACTGAGCATGTGGACCTAAGGCAGTTAGTCTGCTTGGATTTCCAAAATATAAGGTCTCTCCCCAAAGAAAAGTTATACTGATTTGAGAGGGGCAGTCTTCTAATTTGTAAGTAAGTCATGAAAACAATAAAACAAATTAAAAGGGATAAATGATATATGGAGTGAAGTCACTGGAGGACATATGCTGTGGTCTGTCCTGCTCAGTATAGTTGCAAGTGATCTAGAGAAGGGAGTAATAAGTGACTTGACAAAGTTGGTGACAATATTGTGTTACTCTGAAGTAGTAAAGAAAAGGGGTGACTGCAAGAAATTGCAGTAGGACCTTGTGATATTGATTGTGTAGGCTGTGAGTGGAAAACTGAGTTTTGATAAATGTGAAATAATACGCAAGGGGGAAAATTATAATAAATTCACATGTAATATGATGGGTTCTCAGTTCATCCTATAGATGAAGTCTTGGAATTATGATCTATGAAAATGTAATCTCCAATCTCAGTAATGGTAAAAAAATGAAATACTACGTTAGAAACTACAATAAGGAATAGAGAACAAAGTAGAAAACCTCACTGTGTCACTGTATAAATCCATCACTACCAAGTGCACTTCTGGTCCCACCATCTCAAAAAAGTTAAGACAAACATATTAAGGCTGATCAATGGTATAAAAGATTATATAATATGTATGCATAATATGGGAAACATTTAAATAGACTAAATCTTTTTTAGCCTGGAAAAGAGGTGATTGAAGCAGTGTGGAATAATTACTGGAGGTAACTTAGAAATCAAAAACCAGCCTTGTTCACACATTAGGAAAAAGTATAACGTTGAAGAAGATTGCAGGGAAGAATGCAACTGGTATGTGAAGAATCCTCTCCAAGGTTGTCTCCTGGAGAGTCTGGTCTGTATATCAATACGGGGGGTGAAGAGGGGTGGAGACTCTTTAGCCAAGCCCTGTAATCACTGCAGAAGAGATGAATAGTGTCAAGAAGCCGATATGCTATCTGTTGGCAACCCTGGGCTGACAATCTGGCACCGTTTAGACAAATGCCTTACTTGTGTGAACCTTGAATAAACTTTGTCATGATAACACCAAAACACACCTCTGGCTCAAAGACCACCCCCCCTTACTGAGCATACGCTCTAAATTTTTTGTAACTTCTACCTTAAAAGGGAAATGGAAGAGTTTTTACCAATCACAATAAAAGTATGACCAGAGTCACTCAAGCTCCACCTTGAAGGTAAAAGTAATATAAAAGTAGCCCAAAGAAAGGAGGATGTTAGGGAAGATACCATTGCAGACCTCTGTCCTTTGGTATCAGTTGATGGGCACAGCCTCTCTTCGCCACCATAGGGACGCCTTTGTGTAAGATTTATACTGCCCTGAAAACTTTCTCAGAGACTTGGAAATCTCCAGAGAATTGTTTTCCTAACTTAGCACTTTTAGTAATTTGTAACCTTAAGGCTTGTTAATACCTCTGCAGACAGTAGATTATCATTGACGATCCACACGAATCTGTATTATTCCTGTTGCTTTAATAAAGTGCCTTGTCTGCTTATTAAATTGCTCTACAATTCCTCACTGCTACTGCCTGATAGGCCGTGAGAATCCATAGATGGTGACTGGATGGAAGGTGCAGGGCACTATCAAGTGAATCTGGCATTAGTGTACCCAGACTTGTAGTGTCACATTGAATAAACTGTGTCTGTCTGTAACCAGCCACACCATTCTCCTATGGAATGCCGCTAAATGCTGCAGGTTTAGCTGTGGGAATCCATAAATCATGGGCACGGGAGTGCAGTGCACTATCGAGTGAATCTGCTGTTGTCGGACCCATAGTGCTGAACTGGGCATCATCCAGAATCTAAGCCAAACCATCCCCAGCTTCTCCAGTTATCTGAAGGTAAGCTGGAATGCAAGGGGGTTTATTTCCTGCCAAATTGCTTTACTGCCCTTTTCACGCAACAAGCAGGATCTGATGGAAGCAACTTACTTGTTCATCAATCAGTGCAGGTTTCTCGACATTCTTTTTCTGTTTCAAATCTGTTGTTGGTACCGTTACAACCTCCATACCAGAACTGGCCACGAGAATTACCATTCTTGTCATAATACCATTTCACCACATAGTCCCGACAATCCCCTGGTTTCATAGGTTCCAAGCACCTTGGATCTGAAAGTGTATCGGTAAAAGTTATCTTGGATTCTGGGGAAAAGTTACAGTATCCTAGAAGTGCCTCCTTCAGTAAGAAGAGCATCCCTTTTTTTTATTTCTGGTAGTGCCTGGGAGTATATATGCCTCTTTCAGATTTGTAGACAAATTCCATTTCTATTAACAAGCTACCTGAAAAGGCCTAAACAAATACTAGATGAATTTGAATTGAGACTGCCTAAATCCTGATGTAAGAACCAAGCTGCTATTTAATACCTAAGCACACAATTGGTATGCAACGGTTGTTTGTCATCTGCGTTTGAAAACCTGGCTCTCACTGTGTGTGATGTCTGTAGACAGAGCACCCAGAAAAACAAAAGGTGATAAACCCCAGTAACTATATTTGGGGAGGGAGTGTGGTTTGCTCATTGATTTTTTTGGTACAGACTTGCAACCCAGTATCTGGGGACAGTATTAATTACTTACCTTTTTGAGTTGTCGCTACCTGTGTTTGCAACACAGTCAGGTGGTGATCTTCAGTAGCAGTTACATTGAACAAAGGATTGACAGCTGGACTCTGGGGACTGATTTCGGATGTGTCATAAAGTGGGGGAAATCTTGATTCTCTGTGAGCAGAGGTGGTCACAGTGTGATCCTGAGCAGGTGGCAGTGGCTCAGTATATCTTATCTGTGGTGGACTAAGCTGCAAAAGGAGTCAAAATCTTATACCTTAAAATTCTGTCTGGGCTCAGATGCTAAAATAAAGAATTGAGAGAACTATGGAGGAAACTTCTGATAAATAACATGTACCATTAACACCAGGTGGGTTTGGACTTCCTTCTAGTGATTACTCAGTACATGACCATAATTTTCTGACAGTGAGAGATGAATGAAAAGGCAAAGCAATGGCTTTGATTTAGTCCCTAAACTGAATCCATTCCATTGAAGCAAAATTTCAGTCACCACTTAGTCTGTATATAAATAACACAAAAGATGGAAGGCACTCTGGGGTAAATCAATGCTTCTTAACATCTAGCACACTCACTGGGAATGTTCTGACATCTTTAATCTGTCAAGAAATGGAAAATGGCATGCAGGAGGAACAGGGTACTTGTTATTGATAGAAAAACACATGTACATTATGCTCCTCCAAAGACCTTTTTAGATGTGGAATCCCTTTACTACAGCAAAAATTTCCAAAATTTGAGTTATGGGAACCACATCCTATTAATAAGATTGTCTCAGATGTGTCCTTGCCTGTATCAAGCCAAGTGACAAACCATCCATTTTCCTGTTTCCAGCTAATAGTCAGTTGCTAATTGTTAGAATTTTAGAGTTTACCTTGATAGAAGTGTTAAGAAGCCAACCCTGCTCTTCAAATTAAGACTGTTATATAAAAAATTGCCTCTCTAGTGTTTTAGTATATTCAGGAAGATTTGCAAGGATCTTAGTATAGTATAGTACAAATGACTGCATTAGTCCTACACGTTGATTACCTACTGAGAATAAAAAGGAATTTGATACTATTCAATATCTTCCCATATACAGGCCACTACTGACACACTCAGTCAGTTTAAGAAAACTCTTCAAAGTCATTTGGACTCTGAAAATGGATGTCTAGGTGAAATGTAAATGTGGCAGACAATTAATCCAATCCTTTGCATATTGCATTTCTTCTCCAGGTCTACAGAAAAGCTGTGTTTATTTCTGATAGGAATTCAACAGTTTTGAAGAAATTTTTTGACTATAACCATGGCCAGCCAGAACCAAGTGTGTGAGCATCTAATCAGTTAGAACTAATCCTACCTTGTCATCCTCATCACACACTTTATAAAGTCAGCATCTATAAATCCAGGTTTACATTTATTTTTCTTAATGATGCAGAATGTCAAAATTGACCCTCAGTGTCACACAGATTTGTCTGGAGGTATTGCAAGCCCCAAACTTAAATCAATCACACCTACCGAGGGAGCTCTTATTCAAATAAAATAAACCACATTTTGCAAGTGAACTATTTAATTATGAATGATATTACATAAACAGTAATCCAAAGAATTAATATTGGCTAATCCATTGACTCTGCCACAGTAAATCAGTAATATTTAATTAGCTCCAATCTGTACACCAGTCTCTTAATATTTAAATACCAGTATTGTGGTCCACTATATCCATCCCATGCAACTACAGAGGTTTATATATCAAATATTTCAATAGTTTATTCAACAAGTTATAGGGGCAAGCAACGCTCAGTTTTTATCATTGGCTATTTTTGGGCAAAGCAATAAAACACCCTAGAGAGTTAGTGCTGATAGACTGTAAAGGTGACAAATATCCTACTCTAATACTAACACAATGGCTGAAAAATACCAGAGACCTAATAAGGGAGCTACGGTGACACACACTTGCAGAAAATATTTAACTATTGTATTAAAACTCCAGCTGTCTTTTCTATCTGTGCAGCAGCACCATGTTGGAGGGCAGAATCCCAGTGCAGGGCAGGAGGAATTTTAAGCCAAAGAAAGAAAAGTAACATGAATGAGGAGTCCTAGAAGTACAGTCCAGTGTGGAAAGCAAAACAAAACTGAAGGCTTAATAACACCTGGAAAGTGCATGACCATATCAAGAAGCACTGTACTAACAATCAGCTTGCATGTAAATAAATGCCTTATACACTAGGTATCTGCCTCAATAGAGGCGTATCTGTAAGATTTCTAACTCACTTCTAAAATGAATAAGAACTACAAAAAGTATGAGGACTGCTGGCATTTACTGCAACTAAGAAACAGTACTGCCCTCTTTCTTCTGTAAGCTTCCGTTCTCAACAAATAAATTCACTAACTTTAAAAGTTTTGTTCAAATCTTTTGGTCTAGCCAAATGACACATTATTTGAATATTAAAAGACTAGTGAATGGTGAAATAGGGAATATTTAAATTCAAATAAAGACACACATTTGATAACTGTTACTTTTTTACTTACTGGATAACTGATTCCTTCTGTAGGGAGCATGTAAATCTCTGAAGTAGTCATTTTAGGTAACTGGCTATTAGTATCTTCAGTAGCAATTTCAGATTCTGGACTTGGTGATGGAGATAAAACATTATCTTTTCTAGTGTAGACTTCAGATACGTTCTCACAGATCTTTGTGATCAATTTATTTTCAAGAGCTGAAAAGATTAACAAAATGATGAAATTTATTAGGGGTAATCAAGAAAAGTCATAATAACTCACCAAAACCTTGTAGTGCACTATTAACCCTAAATCTTTAATGATAGTGACTTGTGAAAGACCATCTTCTAAAGTTATGTCAAAATGCAAATGAGAAGTAATAAAGTAATGCACACTTTGAATTATTTGATTCTAAGCGCTTTTTGTTCTTTTGAGAAGAGACATAAAAATAACAAGTCTCTCTCTTAAAGCAGAAGTCGTAGCTCAACAGTGAAGGAAAAAAAAAAAAAAAGAAAGAAAGTGTTTACATGTAAGGAGGAAAAAGAAAAACTGGGTGACACATTCTACTTACTTGCACAAAAATATTCAGTGACTAGGAATACTTTTATGTTGAATGCTGGAGCCTGAGTCAGAGCCCTAAGTTTAATCGCAGCTGGGTCCAGAACCTTACCTTGGGCTCTCTTCTCCCTGTTAATGCCTTAAATCCAGACTTCATCCACATGCTCAGCATAGCAAAATAAGTTTATGCTCAGGAAAAAATATATTTTATAGGGCTAGGCTGGAGTTAGTCTAGATCAATGTACCTTTTTTTTTTAATGGATTATTATAGATATCCTCTGGATTTTCTCCAGATTCCAGTTGTGGCCACAGGATTTTTTCAAGACAAAGACTGAAATATGCTATGTACTCTCAGATCCCATTCCCTTGTTTTGGTTCACCGCTCTGCCCATAGAATCAGAATGAAAGTGTAGGTTTCCCTATGGCTTTCAGAAAAAAAACCTAAAGACTGCTTCTAAGAGATGGTGGAGGGACTGACAAGAGCCGTATGAAATAGAGAGAGATAAAGAGACAGAGATGTCATATCAAGGTGGAAAGAAATCTGCACCCCTGTGGAGTGAAACCATGGCCAAGCACAAATGCATCCAAAAGAGAAACATAAGCTGGCATTCATCAGGCTGCCTTGCCCTGCTATGAGAAAGGCCAAACTCTTACATGCTTATTGAAATTTTCCTCTTACTAAAATAGTTGGTTTTACCTGAAAGCGTCATGAAGTCATCTATCTGATAAACATGTTCTTCATCAGGGTCTGTTGCAATGAGCTGCATCTCTTTCAGAAAATCATCATAATGAGGATCAGTCCTTTGAACAATCCCAATGACAAATATCTCAATATTTGTAGTATGGGCCTCTCTTACTACAGAGTCCAGTTGTACTTTATCACGAGTGTCTGCTTGTCCATCTGTTATTACAACAGCCACTTTTCTTACTGTTGGGTGTGCTGCATGAAATAACTGAATGGCTTCCTGGATAGCAGAAGCTGTGTATGTGCCTTCTCCTAAGTAGGGCATTTTATCAACAGCTGATTTCAGGTATTCTTTAGTTGTGTATTGCTTCAGAGAAGACACCAACTCCACTTTATGGCTAAAGTTGATAATGCCAATGCGGACTGTAGCGTGGTTGGCCGATACCTTGTCAATGACTGTTTTCATAAAAGTTTTTATAATATTGAAGTTGTCTGGTCCAACACTTTCTGAACTGTCAATGACAAATACCAGTTCCAGTGGTGTTACTCTACATCTGATACCACAACCTAAAAGAATAACCATTTCAGACATTTTATGAGAAACCACCCTCATAAGAATGAATCGAACTCATCTATCAGATTTACAGTCAGTTAAAGCTCAGTTAATGGATTAATTTATAGTTACTGATACTGATAAATAGAAACAGAACTGGACCAAATTACTTCCAGTATAGCTCTGTCAACATAGTGAGCATTATTTTCACATCAATGGTATCCTTGCACACAAACATGCAGAAGACAAATCCATTCAATCAATATAAATTCAATGTGTTTTATTAGAACCATTTTTTTTCCCCATACTGGAATGCTTACCACATATTTCATTGATAAGTCTGATAACTTCTTCTCTCTGAAAAAGAGTATTATTTAATTTCCCATGCATTCTAGTTTTAAGAATACTGAAATCTATCTATTTATTTATTTACAAAAATGCAGGCAATGCAATGCCTCATAAACAACCTTGTGTAACATCACAATATTAAATATTTTCCTGAAATGAACTCCTATCTTTTAAATTAATTCATGTACATACTTACAGAAAGACCAGGTTCACCTTTTCTTCCCCACATTCCCTGAAAATGTGTAGAGTAAGATAATTAACAAAGTCAAATTTGTCTAATTTCTATTGTGTAAAATTAAGTAATATGAAAATGTATTTTGCCTTTGGTCCTGGAGGTCCTGGGTCTCCAATCTCTCCTTTGGCACCTTTGCTCCCTGGATCACCTTTATCTCCATATTCTCCCTAATTTAAAACAACCGTATTAAACACAGTTAGTAACTCCAGTTTTCTTGATAGTCAGAGCTGGAGTTAAGGTTCAATGAGCTTTTAAGATAAATTTTATGGGGGTTTTTTTATGTGTGTGGCTAGTTTATCTTGTATGTATTATGAAGAGAACATCTGACAGCAGGCTGTCAGAGAAAGTAAGATGGGCAGTAAAAACTTCTTTAAGAAATTTCTATGAAAAATTACCTTAATTCAGGAATGAGGGGCAAAGATATCTTTATGAAAATATCAAGAATGCATAATTTTTTACTCTTCTTTGATAGTCTTGAACTCTAAACCAATGTTTATACTAGACCTATGTTAAATCAGACCTATGGAGGTCTGCCTCAGATCAGCCAGTGTATTGAAACTCACATCAGCTTTGTACAGAACCCACACAAAAAACTGGGCACTTGCAAAGAACAGAGGAAAAGGCATGCTTGGGCTGTTATATCCATTGGAAAAGATGTAGTTTCACATTTAGAAGCAATTCTGTACTTTTTTCTCAAATGACTAGACTTTTTGATTTCCAAAAAGAGAAAGGGTTCAACATCACATTTCAGTAACCTGGTCTAATAGAGGGTGTCCCTGCCTATGGCAGGGGGCCAGGAACTAGATGATCTTTAAGACCCCTTCCAACCCAAACCATTCTATGATCCTATGATTCTATGATTATGATATTTCAAGTGTCAGTTTTCACATAACGCAGGTATGAAACATACTATCAAAAGATTCAGGTTCTAAATTAGACATTTATTCAAGGAGATTGTTCAGGACAATTTTTTGCTTCTCTCTGGAAGTTACTGACCACGTTACATTTCACTTGAAACTTTAAAGCTTAAAAAATTATCTATATCACTGTCCATTTTTATATTATTCCTCCTTATTTCCCAGCCAATGGAATCACAGAGATACCTCCTGCGTTACAGCGTTCACCATAGTGATTGCTATCAATTTTAAGGAAACCTTTTGACTTTCTCAGTCTGCTTCTGATCTTATTCAGACTGGTATAAACCTGAAAATTGGACATAGCTTCTCCACACCATTAATAAAATCAGTCTAGCCACAGTATTTAAATTCCCTTCATGCAAAAATTGTTAGATGGGAATAGGCATGTGTAGGAAATTCTTACGATTTTTATATCAACCAGGAAGTTGTTCAGTAAAGAAAGATTCAAGCTTGGGCTTCAAAATGAGTCAAATAAAAAAAAGTCCTTAAGAGACATTAGTGAAAAAGCAATTCTTTCTTTTTTTTTTGTCGAAGTCTGGCAAATAAAAGGATGTTCTGTAATACCTGAAAAACATCTAGGATAACTGAATACTTTGAATACAATAATTTGACTAATATGAATCTCCTGCTAACAGTTATGACCTCATTCTGGATCCTACTTCAGAGCCTGGTCCTTAATGTCATTTAGGATTTTCACAGACTCCAAAGGTGAAAATAAGTAGTAGGCACTTACCTTGCTAGCTATACAAGGCAATGTCTTTGCCTTCTATTTATATTCAAAGACCTGTTACACCAAATAACTAAAAAGGAAGAAAAAAATACTTTTTTTTCCTTACCACAAACCTAGGATTTACCTTTGGTCCAGGAAGGCCAATTCCTATTGAGCCTTTTAGTCCAGGTAAACCTTGATTTCCTTTTTCTCCCTGAACAGAATAAACAGAATATTTAACTGAAAATTAAAGTAATATCTATGCTTTATCTATTAACTTTATAATGTTCTTCATCATAAAGAAAGCCAGATGTTTGTATTATGCAATAAAGCACATAATTTTCAATACAGAAGTGGTCTCAAGCTGGAGAAATAAGCAAAATGAAGCCTTTATAAAGTATATAATGAAGAATTAATTCCTGATTAATTAAATGAAATATTGTCATTTGACTGAAACAGATGAAAGACAAAAGTAGCCTCACTGAGGCTCAGACATTTATTCATCCAGTCTACAAGCAGTAAAACGAGGTCCAACACAAAGGTTCTCTAGAAACAGACACCCAGAATCTCTGCAGGGTTGACTTAGTTTTTCTGATCTTAAGTAAATAAAAAGACATCTCTGCTTTTCATAATGTGGAGAACAGAACATCTTTCTGCTGATACTTCAAAAGACAGTATCAGTCCAGCTACAAAGCTCGAATTTTTTTATAATGATTGTTACCCATGCCCTGCTGCATGCACACAGACTTGAAAAGCATGTTCGCGCTAGCAGTGTGGGCACACAACATGCTACAAAACACAGCTGTTATAAAATACATGCAGAAAATCCTTCACAGCATCTGGCTTCCAGAAACTCTCCTGCTTTATTTAATAGAGTAACACAAATATTTTTATTTTTTTTTTAGATCAAGTGCTGCATACATTTTAAACACAGCTAGAGGTGGTTATATTCTCTGGTACATAAATGTTTCACCATAGTTCACATTACAGACATAATTCACATAACAGCAGTGCCCAGTACAGATACCAAACCCAGCTCCAGAGAATGTCAATGAGATCAGGAGCAGTGACCACCTGTACCAAACCTAGCCTAGGCAAGTACAAGGTTTGTTTTATTTTTCAGTCAAGAGCTCTCAGACTGTCTCACTAAAGCATCTTTTACTAATACTTGTATAGCTGCTCACAAATGGGCCTAAAGGGGTTATAATGCTCATAGTGGGCAATATAACAAAAATACAAAAATGTTTCAAAATTTATCAGGACTCCATCCTGCACCAAAGGCACCCTAGTGCAGAAGGACTGATGACTGACCATTACTGCTGTGCTGGATAGGGGCTAATGGACTTCTGCAGGTGGAGAAGCAGCTGCACAGTGCGCAGACAAGTCAACCTCCTCTTCCTTGTACTCAGGGCTCCTGACTCCCATGACTTGGGAGTTCACCATGAGTTAGACAATGAGATGCAGCTCCTAGAAGATGCAGTATACTATGAGTCATGGTCCATGGGTGGTTTTCCCTGTCCAAATTCCAGATTTTACTGAGATCCTGCTGAGATGGGAGTTTCTGTTTGTACACGGGTGCGTTGTGGTCTTGCCCCATGCTAGGCAAAGGCACCCACTGCACTCCACCATTCACATCTCCGCTGGAGCACTGCCTTTATAGCTCTGCCTTGCAAAAGCCTCTTGGTAAACTAGCCCTAACCTGGGGAGCTAAAATGCTCTGCTTGTCATCGGGGCTACCTACCACCGACCTGCTAACTGGCAGCCTCTTGCCTCTGTAAGCAGAACTTCTCCCCTTCTCCTCTCCCCAATTTCTTACAGCAGCGAAAATTCAGACACTGTTATGTGAACTCTGGAGACTGGAAAAGAAACTGTGATGCAACAAATTTCACAGATGATTCAGTAGGAGAGAAAAAATAATCCTGCAAACAGGAAATATTCCTAAGGCAATGGGATGCACAAAGCAATTTATTTTGCGCTGTTGTAGGAATGCACAGTGACTATTTAATCTAATTTACTTTTAGCAGGATTGTGTTTCCTGGGTCCTTCACGTAGGTTATTAATGCAAATGGCTTTTAAACATAGATAAACAGTGTGCCTGCTTGTTTCAATGCTTGCTGTCCAGCACTGGGACTGACTATCCTTCCTGACAAGGGTCACCACACAGCTTCCCGATTAACACCTTGGCAGATCTGCAGAGCATATACATATGAACCAGAATTAGGATATGCTGTGTGTTCCAGTGGTCCTTCACTAATAATAAATGCCAATCTGACAAAACTATAGATTTATTGCTGCCATTTGTTACAGCCCATTTGACATTGTTATGGTGGTGTTCAGGCAATGAAAACTGAATCAGACCCACTGTTCTAAAAAAATTTCATACCTGAATAGCTGACATTTCTCACAGGCACACATGTGAGTTTTATCCTTTAAAATGTCAAGTGCAGAACCAAATCCTGCTTTCTTTACTTGTGCAATCAATCAGCATAAGAAGGGTTTATCATAGATACCATAACTGAACACTCGGTAAAAACCAAGAAGTACGCTGTATTAATTTAAAAATATTTATTGCTTTGCCAGTTAAAACCATCATTAAATTCAAACTTGACCATCAGTCTTATCATAAAAACCAAAGTGGTATGCATGTAAAAATGCAAACCCTTGGATCCGTGACCGTAATATCCTGCTAGATTACCGATCAATAAGCACACTTCTATGTAAAAATGTCATTCTATAAACTAAGTGCAAATCTGAGAATGTCTAGACTGTGGTTTTGAAAGGAAACCAAACATAAAAAAGACAAACTGTGAATGTAGCTATCAACATAAAGTTACTTGAAAACAATCTCAATTTTGACATTCTGTTCTTACCACGTGCAGACTGAGCTTTATGTATATATATATATATACGTGGAGTGATATTGATAGTCCAAATGCAGAAGTATAGTAGCTTTAAGCTGATGAAGAGCAGCCAGAAAAAAATGAAGCTTGACATGGCTGTGAAGAGATAGGCCTGAAGAGACGGGTAGAAGCTCAACAAGCATCACTGTGTGAAGGAAACCGGTAGTACAGGGAAAAGACAGTTGCCAAAGCTGTTCAGAAAGAAGTTGTTCCTAAGAATTATATACAAATAATCATAATTTAAAAAGTGATTGTTAAGGTAAGAATTTAAATGACAAGACTGTAGCTACACAACTCACGGAATGCTATAGAAACACCACCAGCTGACTCTGATCCATCACATCATTAGTTTTTGTTTCAAACCCAGAGACAAAGACCTTCCATAGCCAGAGCATGTCTTACCTTCCTACATCCCTAAATTCCACATCCTTACATTACAAACATGCTTTTGTCTGACAGTGTGTGTCAGTGGACTGTGTTCTTCAACTGGAAGACTTCCGTGATGAAACTGAGTTCTTTACACTTCTAAAATATGCTTTAGATAATTATTCATAGCAGTGCCAATATAACAACCAAAACTCTGTGTGATGCTATACAGAGATAGATAGACAGATGTATATGTACACACAGAGTATATTTTTACTAACCTTTTTTTTTTTTTTCAGGAACAGAAAGAATATTATATAACCTGTATATTTTTTCATGTATCATCAGATGCCATTAATTGCTGAAACATTTCTTTTCAGAACAGTAATTGAGCTTTTATAAATAACATCACATACTCATAGAATTAATAAAGATATCCCAAGTATTATATTCTGGAAACACATCAGAAATGTCTATTAAAGCCAAGCAGGAAATTAATTGTTATCAGTAACCTATACTAGAGTCTCTAGACAGTCGTGACTAACCATGTAGAGATCTCTGTCTTGGAAAGTCCCAAGATGAGAAAAAACAGAATCTGTTAGAGTTATATAATAAGGAGAAAAGAAAGAACACAGTAAAGTATGTTTTTATGCTATGAAACACCTCACAGTGAAAAAAGGGAAATGATTGAACATGGATATAAAAATAGAAGAAGTTGAAGCTGGAATCAGAGCAAGTACTGAACAAAACAAATTCATAAGGAATCATTGCTTTTCTGGTGAGGCTTGTATGAAGTAATTCCATACTGAACAAAAGAAAGGTTCTCCTCTGAAACTTTTTGCCAATAAGGTACATTTGAATGATTTTTGTTTGTTTGTTTGTTTCCGCATGCCACTATTTTTCAATGAAAACCTATTTTGTCAATTAATTCCCTGGTGGCTTTAGTGTCTACAGTCAACTGTAGTATAGAGAAGCATCTTTCCTAACACAACTAAACAGTGCCTCTCTTACTGAATCACTGGTGTTTTGATAACCCAGGGTTGAAGAGCTGGGCACAATCTTCCTGATCCAGGGAAATATTCAATCATATGCTCAACTTTAAGCACACTGATTTAAGAGAAGTAGGAGAAACTTGGGTTGTTCTCAACTAGAGCCTCCAGTTTTAATAATTTTTTCCACACATTTATGACAAGACAATTTATTAACTTTGAATATTCAGAATATGTTACCATGTTTATATTTCTCCTTATAAGGAGAGAGAAGTTATAATTATGGCTGGAACTGGGTGAGTAAAAACCTGATGAACACTATGTGGAAGACTGGCTACTTTATTTTATATTCCTATATGTGTTGTTTGACTTATTTTGAAATGGTAGATCTCTGTTACTTTCTTTTACAAGGGCATCCAGAGAAAACCCTGTATGTTTCCTTTGGAGTAAATCAGTAAGATGTGGCAGAGTTGAGACTTTTTTTTCCAGGTTAAATACATTTGTAATGACAAGAATAACAAGAGAGCAATTGGGTACTACCAATACTGAAAACACAACAGTTAAAGTAAGTATTACATGTTTTATGAACAAGAAACATAAATATACAACGAATATTTGCAAGAGTTCGCTGACTTAATGGCAAAGAGAAAATCAGACAATGAACCTCCTTAAGAAATGTTTTTGAGAAGAAACTGGACAGATATTACATTAAGCTGAATTACCTTGCTTCCTTGTATGCTCTCACCAGGAGGGCCAGGTGGACCAGGCAAGCCTTTCTGTCCCATAACACCCTATAACAGTCAGTGGGACAAAAAAAGATAAATTAGGAGGTAAACTCTATTCCTGGTAACACTAAGGAATTAATCTCAAAGTCACCACAGCAAAAAATAAAACCATGTCAAAGACTCTAGTTCTGATTCTTCTTTGTTTCTCACTGTGGGCCTTAGTAATTATCACTGGTAAATTCCCAGGAAAGCAAAGGAACAATAAAGGTGAAAATAATTAAAGAATAAAATTTGCCCATGACACAGTGTGATATTTCCCCAGTTCATCCCACATATAAACCAACAGAAACCACCTTTACACAGCAACTTTGTGCGATCACTCCCCATAAGGGACGCACAACGAACCAGAGCAATAAAACCCAGCACGAGTAAATCTGCCAGGCATGTTAGCTAGTCCTTGTGCACCATGTACACCTGCCAAGTCCCTGTGGTGCCACAATCTCTGGGAGCACCAATCATTCAGAAGATCCATAAGTGGGAGCGGAAGAGAGAAAAGCCAAAGCAGCACCTGAAGATCTGTGTTGATACAGTCAAAGCCAGGTAAAGCCCCCGTGCTTTGGTGGCAGGCTAATCTAATATTTCAAAGTGACAGTGACGCATATCACAGAATCACAGAATGTTGGGGATTGGAAGGGACCTCGAAAGATCATCTAGTCCAATCCACCTGCTGGAGCAGGAACCTAAATGAGATCACACAGGAAGGTGTCAAGGCGGGTTTTGAATGTCTCCAGAGAAGGAGACTCCACACCCTCCCTGGGCAGCCTGTTCCAGTGCTTCGTCACCCTCACTGTAAAGTAGTTTTTTCTCAAGTTTAAGCGGAACCTCCTGTGTTCCAGCTCACACCCATTGCCCCTTGTCCTACCATTGGTTGCCACTGAGAAGAGTCTATCCCTTTGATTACACCAAAATTAAATGTTTGGTTTTCCTCTTTTTTTTTTTTTTTAATTGAAAAAAAGCTTTTGAAATTTGACCAAGCTTCACAAAAGTTTCTATAAAGTTCAGGTTGGATTTTTGATTACTGTCTTATCATAAATAATCACTGTGCTCCAACAGAGTAAATGGAATTCATTCAGTGTTATGTAAAATACCTATATTTTATGTAAGTTTAGGCAGAAGTATATCAAAACTTGATCATTAAATAGAAATATATAACTCTCAATATTTAACTTCCAGATATTAGTGATGTTATATATAGGATTTGAAAAATCATCATTCTTAACTGTGTAGACAAAAAATTTACCACAAACTTTAACAGAATCTCTTGTGAAAAATATTGTTAATCTATATATTTATAAGCAGGGATTCAAACAAAACTTTGTTGTAAATAGCTTATCTCAAGAAGTAGATGCTACAACCAAGTTCTCACCCTTGAAAACAAAATATTGTTTCCTCACAGAGAACATATTTTTCCTTCTCAAAGGTTTTGTGGAAACAGCACATAACATTTCACATTTGTAGGATTCTGACACTCAGTCCAAACTTACTTTTTTTAAACAGACTGCATCTTTATGATTTACCAAGGTGCTGAAATTGCTGCAGCTTTCGGAAAGCAAGACAAATTTAGACACACATCCTGAAAAAATATTCATGCTGTGCTGCTGATTGCATTTCTGTAACATGTTGGTAATAGTGATGTTTCTCCATTCAGATACTAGTTTATTGAAAATGGCAGTGAATCCTTCTGTTAATCTTTGCTACAGAAATAACAGAAAAACTTAAAATTCTTAGATACAGGCATATCTATTTTTAACTTATGTTAAAGTGGAGAAATATACACAATGTTTCTCCTCATTGCCTTTGTAAAAAATAATTGATGGAAAAGCCTATAAAATAAAGAAATCCAGGCATGCATTGAATTTCTTTTCTTACCAGTATGTCTTTTTCAAATTATAAATCACTTTAGTGGAGTGACAAAAAAATTGCCCAGATGTTGCATGCTGGCTGCTTATAGAATTAACTTTTTGTTTTCATGTTTCTTTCCTAATGGTTTTACTAATTAAATTAGTTGGATTCCATTTCATTGAGCAAAAATTGCAAACATAAAATTCACATTTAACATTTTTCACCACAAAAGAATCACTTGGAAACAGAATAGATACAAACAGAAGAAATGCACCATTTAACTAATTTATCAGCCTGATAGTTCTGTTCCAATTCCAGCTGTAATCTCATAAAATTTAGCTGCAAATGCAATTTTCATCCAGTTAGTATTCCTTCCTAATCCATTTGGTAGAAGCGTATGGTCAGTGCTCATGTTTTTATGCTTGATTTCTCCGGCAGTTGTGCTATATGTAAATCAGTAATTGATGAAGATATTTTGGTGTCTGAGAGATCAGAGTCCAGCAGCTAGCATCACAAAAGAGCACATGGCACTGTACCAACCTTGGGACCAACAGTTCCACTTCCCCGTGGCCCTGGGGGACCAGGATAGCCTCTCATTCCACGGTCTCCCTGAAAACAGTCACAGAAATGTCCGTAATTTATCACCTATTAACTGTTACATCTTTCATTCACTTACAAAACAGTCAGTTGAACTACTGAGTTTAAAAAACAAAACAAACAAATGTTACACACATAAACAGTTGTTTTATAGATAGATACCAAAAAAAAGTCCAAAATGCAGGCACCCACATTATTTAACCTCTAGGTGAAGAACATTATTCCCCTCCCTTGACCTGCTGGCCATGCTCTTTTTAATGCACCCCGGGACACTGTTGGCCTTCCCGGCCACAAGGGCACACTGCTGGCTCACGGCCAGCCTGCTGTCCACCACGTACTGGTACTGTGTTTGTTCTGAACTATAGGCATTTAATTTCCAGAACTGTCAAACTGATGTGTTTATGAAAACTAAAGGAATTTTAATAGCATTGATACAGAAGAACAAAAAGAACAGGCCTTTCTTTGTTTTCTTAAAAAGCCTCAATGCATGTATGTTTAGCTTGATTTCTTAAGGAAATGAGGCTTAAGTGATACTCTGCCTGTATTTCTGCTTGTCTTGTATTTCTTGACAAAATTTTAAAAAATCATTGCAAAAATTCTTCATTGTACTTGTTTTTGCACTCAGAAAAGCTGTAGAAATGGCTATGCCTGCAGAGGGAGCATTCTAACTTGGAGAAAGGTGCAAGTACAGATTACACAAATCACAGATAAGACTCGAGTTGTGGTAGGTGAAAAGCAACAACATAATAAACTGATTAAAAAGGAAGGCAAGAAAAGTACAGAGTCTTTTACTGACTTCCTTTACTTCCTGGGAGGAATGTGTACAGTCATTACAATGACCGCTTTTAGGTGTAATGCCTAAGGTTCAATCTCTAGCAAGAGATTACTCTAATCTGTGGTTTTTATATATGGCTATGATACTCTCATGCTAAATCCTGACATATGTGCTATTTAAATAAATATATTAGGGCCCAAACTATGTTCAGGTTTGATAGACATGGAGATGTAGGAATTCTGAATCCAAAGGCTAAGGTTTAGATTGAGTTTATAATACTTTCCTTCTTCATGTAACATTTGGCTTCTGAATTTATTTTCAATTTCTATTTCTTCTAAAGCACTGGAGATTGGCCAATTTGAGTTTGGGCATAGGCATGGTACATGGATGTTTACGGCTTTAAAACGGCATGTCAAGCTGATTGAGTTAAACTGATTGCCATGTTCAGTCAGGAGGAAATTTCTCCCTCAGATTTGATCAGAGAAGGGAGTTTGTTGCTTCCATCTAGTCTGGTTTGGAAAAGGGAACTAAAGAGAGCTGCTCTCTTTAGTAGTGGTGTTCTTCAGATGACCTGAGGCTTTTATATCACACCTTCCCTGCTAATGCATAGAGTCAACATATTGTCAATGCCCTTGAACTTTTTGCCCCCTTTTTTTTTTTTTCCCAAATTCTAGTTATAGACTCTTAAAGATTACAGTCTGAAGTAATTAAAGACTGTAGCAGTTAAGTCTGGTACATGGTGCTGGGAAATGTCCCTCTGCAGTGGGATGAATCGTAGATACTCCTCA